AGCACACTTTGTGCCTGAGGAACGTTCTCAGGTCAGTGACTTCGGTTTTGAAAAACAACAATGCTTTTGTCTTACAGTTCCTTTAAAGGGTCAAAGCTACCCTTACCTTCCAGCACATGCTTGCTTTCATCTTCCTCAAGCGAGGGCTAATCGCTTGACAGAGGAATGTCGTGTGACACAACAGGAGGTCTGGAAGCAAAAAACCAGAAACATAACAATAATGTACACCAGTCGGGTGTTTATGAACCTTTATAGCTCAAAAAGATGGTGAATTTCAGTATGATGGGCTCATTTTTTTTGTTTGTTTTAAGTTAAAAACTGTAAATTACATTTAGGACAATGTTCATCTTATTCATATGAAGAGTAGGACTCACACTTCTAGACTAGGACTCTAAGCCTTCCTATGAAGCCTTAGTACAAGGCTTAACAGTATGAAGAGTACTCACTCATGGCTTAATCTGATTGCCTTCAGTAGTGCTGTTAGAGGTCCCTTTTATATACAGGTGAGGTAGGAAGTCATCTGGATAACAGAGCAGTAAAATTAAGTGGCAAAAAGGGAGAGACAACTTGTGGATCTTGAATCACTGACTACAGTGGGTTCAAACTGTTTAAACATGCATTTCCAGCTGTAGCAAAGAAGTACATTTCTCTTTAACAGAGAGACTGTTATACAGCACAGGATTTGAAAAAGTTCCAGCCTCTTTGAAATTATAATTGACTAGTACAGGACTACACACCAGCATTTGGTCACCACCACTCTTGATTTATCATATACACTAAAATTCCTATGTCAAAGTGCTGACTGGCATCTACTCGTGGCATTAAAATTTACTAGCTAAAATCAGTAGAATCATAGAATATCCTGAGTTGGAAGGGACCCACAAGGATCATCAAAGTCCAGCCATAAGCCCTGCACAGGACCATCCCCAAGAGTCACACCATGTGGCTGAGAGCATTGTCCAAATACTTCTTGAACTCTGTCAGTCTTGGTGCTGTGACCATTTCCCTGGGAAGCCTGTTCCAGTGCCCAACCACCCTCTGGGGGAAGAACCTTTTTCTAATATCCAACCTAAATCTCCCCTGACACAACTTCATAATAATAACATAATATTAACATAACATAATGATAACAGCTTCATAACATAATTCAGCAACATGGAAGGATGTTACTGAAACCTTTAGACATCAACAACCTTATGGCAAGCTTTCTTGCAAGCTTATCACACATGCATGGAGCTAATAAGGATTTATACTAGCTGAATGGCATGACTGTGAAACAAGAAAGGATCTCTTTCCTGTTTGAGCTCAGGTTGTTGGATAATATTTTGATTGATTAGGATTTTATTATATTTTTTAGCTTGACAGGATCAGCACAGTCCTGATCTGACTGAGAGGAGAATGTGCAGTCACCCCTACAGGTCAAAAGAAGGTCAGAAGATGTCTTACTGGCTTTTGCTAATAAAATGTACAGGTGAATGTTTTTTTCCCTGGTTGAACTACAAGAAGAGTTTTTTTTAATTGATTAAACTCCCAACTCTCCCTTCTGTGGAATTTTTTTTTTACATTTGGCCAGGAAACACATGTTAAAAAAAAGTTCCTGGACTTCGCATACTGTTGCCCAGCAGATACCATGTGTGTCTTTTCTGGGGCAGCTGGGCTTCAGCTCCCAGCTTAGCTGTGAGTAATTTGGAAGTGCTCAGCCCCTTTGTTTCAGGCATTCTATGAAGGATATGCAGGCTTTCTCCATCAGAGGTGATATCTAGTTTCAACAAGGAAAAAAGTATCTCTCCTTTATTGCAGGCAGAGTCTTTCAAGACAGGGAATCCTGAAGTTGTCTTGTGTATCACAGAGACGTGTCAAACCCACCGTGCTTCCACTGAAACGTTTAAGGCTCAAAAGATATTGTTAGCTACTGAAAACCCTTGTGAATTGAAGAACACGTCATCCAATGGTGCTACCACCAACTAGCAGTCACCCAGGAGACACTTCTCTCTTCCTCTGGATACCAGTGCAGCGTCAGCCAGTGCTCACCCAGCGCTGCTCCATTTGTCCTAGGTGACACAGGAACATGACCAAAAGCAGAAGGGAGAGCCGTGACCCGAATCCTGTGGGAGACAGTCCGAAGAGCTTGAATTTGCGGATTTCCACCTTGCTCCCTAGGTGGCAGCATTTGTTTTCTTTTAAATCTCATTTTGTGTTCTCAGTAGGGGGTGTAGGAAAAGCGTTTTATAAATCAGTTTGGTTTGTGCGCATAAACGTTCTGTTAGGAGCTGTTTCTTTTTATCTGTATTATTAATGTCACTAATACACAATCAATCTCATTTACTTGGCAGAGTTAACTTGCTTTTTCCTGATCATTGAATCCAAATATGTTTACTGAAGGAGACTCTATAGTACTCAATTTTGTAACAACTTTATTCTGTGGGCAGATGACTCACAGATGAACTTGTGGCATTCACTGCCATGTGTGGAATTGCATTGTGTTCTGTCTTAGCTTTATGATTTCTGAGCTGGTCATGTAGCTGCTGATTCATTTTCTAAAACCTGAAACATTTATAGAAGCAGCATGGGTTTCTGGACAGGGCATTCTTAGCTAGATAGCCTCAAAAAATAACTTTCCTCTGTGACTGTGTCTCATCTTTTACACTGAGGAAAAATTAACCCTTTTAAGAGTTTTTTTGTCAACTGGTGAGAAATTATGTAAGAATCTGGTACATGTGTTTTATTTTACCTTTTCAGCAGTTCTGAATACTTCTTCCTGACATGAGGTGCAAAAGTGTTTAGAGTTGACCTAAAACTATTCCTACATAAGCTAATCTGTTTTGTCTTTCCCAGTTACTGAGGCAAAGAGGCTAAAAAACCTATTGTGAAGCGTTCTGGAGCAGAGAATAGGGTTGAGAAGTTTAACCTGTCTGGCAATATCCAGTGTCACTGTGCATTCTGTGGGATATTACAGCAAGCCCCAAACTGCTGCCCTGGCAGGGCCTGGGTTTCCTGAAAGTCCTTTTTCGTATCTGTCAGTCCTCTTCAAATATTTTGGATATCCAGCAAGCTGCAGATGTCTGTAAATGGACACCTGAAGTGAGCCCTCTTTATTCATCTCCATTTGAAGAGCATCTGTCAAAGAGAGGAGTGGGTTCTCTAGGAAGCTTTGGGGTTGCTTTACAATAGCTATCTGCATGCACACTTTTACCTCCTGGTAAGCACTGGGAAACTGCAAATAGCTTGTTTCTCTCTGTGAATTACTAAAAAAATTAACTTTGCATTTACATAAGATTCATAGCTTTTTAGGGGAATTTTTTTTTATGGTTTAGGTGGTATTCTGTAAATTTATGGATGTGCTTGCCCCATGCTGTTTCTACTTTCCCTGAGCTTATGCTAGGAGACATAAATACAGCTAGAATGCATAAAGTGTAGCGGAATAGTTGTGAATAAGAAGTCATATCAGTGATTAGGTTCATCTACTAAAACTCAGAGAATCATTTAGGTTGGAAAAGACCTTTAAGATCATCAACCATAAACCTAACACTGCCAAGTTAGGAACATTAAGCCATGTTCCTAAATTCAAATTCTGACAATCGAGCAAAATACAGGTTGTGTCCTTGGTGCTGTCTCCAACTATCAACTTGCCCCTGAACTGAGGGTGCACTTGATCCCCTTGTCCAGGTCATTGATAAAGATATTAAACAGGACTGGCTCCAACACTTGAGCCTTGGGAAACTCCACTAGTGACCGACCACCAACTGGATGTAGCACCATTCACCACCACTCACTGGGCCCTGCCCTCCAGCCAGTTTTTATCATGTCAAACAGTGCTCCCATACATGCCCTAAGCAGCTAAATTTTCCAGTAGAATGTAGGGATTTGCAACCATAATCAAAGTTTAAAACTTGACTGTATATATGGTTGTCAGTTGGGAGCTAGATATTATTCATGGCAAATAGGAGAAGGTAGTAAGCAAGTCATCTGCACGGATCAGCCAAGGTAAAGGTTTCCTAAACTCTGGGCATATGTGTCTGTAAACTCCTAGGAGCATCTGTTGCTATGTGATTGAGTCCAAAGAGAGGAAAAACCTGAATATCTGGGGGGCTTCCTCCACTCCGACACAGAAGAATAAGGATACCCTTTAAAAAAGTAATCAGAAGAGACAAAGGAAATTTTTAACTCTGAAATGAATGAAGAGGGAAAGCAGCATTTATTGTCCCCTGATAAACACCGCCTTTAGGCTCTGCCATGCACCAGTAAGCAAAAAACCCACACATAAGTAATAATGTGCTAGAATGGGGATTTCGTATGCATGCAAAATTTTATTAATTACTAGTAAAAATGTTTTTCCCGTGAGGAATAATAGACCAGGGACCCATGGAGGTTCTAGATCCAACACTCTTCGAGATGTTCAACAATTCTGCTGCTCACAGTCCTAAGCAACCGGATCTAGAAGGCCCTGCTTGGAGCAGGAGGTTGGACTAGAGACCTTGAGAGGTCATTTCCACTTCACTAGTTTGTAATAGCAAGAGGCTAGTGTATTTGCAACCAGTATCTGCACTGCCCAAAGCTGGGTGTTATCAGAACCACCAGAACCACTATCACAGTTCTGACTGTTTATGAGAAAGCACCTAAGTTATCCAGAGTGCTGTGTGTACATAAACGGCAGAAAAATGCCTCTGAACCTTCTGCTTAGTTTCCCATCTCTTGCATTTAAGTTTCTTGGGTGCAAACTTCACAAAATATGTGCTTAGGGTCAACAGTCAGCCATTAGGGACAAGTAAGATTACTTTATTCAGAACAGATAGTGCACTCTCAGAGACTCAAGAATGCCCCCAGGTCTTCAGAAATGGCAGGACTGAACCTCATCTGACACAAACCAGCACACTGTGAGCAGTTCCTAGCTCACATCAGGTCTCTCCAGGCAGAGTACATAGCCACTTGTGTGATCCTACCCCCAGGTCACCAAGATTTCCAGAGCAACAGCAGGCTAATACAGACAGATCACGAATCTTTGGGTTTCCCTTTGTGTCCTGGAAGGTCCTGCAGTCATCCCTGAAAAAAGGGATGTATTTATCAGCTACACATATCAGAACTGCGTGTCAGGATATCCTGGAGTTCATTTTGTTCTTAGTAACTGGCACAGTGGCGTGTTTTGGATTCAGTATGAGAATAATGTTGACAACAAACCGACAGATGTTTTAGTTGATGCTCAGTAGTGCTTCCCCTAAGCCAAGGACTTCTCAGTTTCCCATGCTCTGCCAGCAAGCAGGTGCACAGGGAGCTGGGAGGGAGTGTGGTCAGGACAGCTGACCTGAACCGGCCGAAGGGCTATTCCATACCATAGAGTATCCTGCCTAGTACATAAATGGAGCACTTGCCAGAAAGGATGGTGGGGGTGTTACCAGGGAACGGGATGGGCATCAACATGTGGTGAGCAATTGTACTATGCATCACTTGTCTTTCTTGTTTGGGTTTCTTTCGTTACAACTATTATTACTACTATTGATTTATTAGTTGCATTGTTATATTTTATTATAATTATTATGTTTTACTTTGTTTAAATTATTAAACTGTTCCTGTCTAAACCCAGGATTTTCTAACTTTTTTAGAATTCTCCTCCCCATCCTAGCAGGAGAGGAACTGAGCAAGTAGCTTCATGGTACATAGTTGCAGGCTGGGGTTAAGCCATGACACAGAAAAAGATCAGCAGTTCTCAGATGGACAAGTTCCCTTGGGAGGACCCTGGTGATCACAGGAAATAATGATGTGGCACAACTCTTCCTCAGGCATGTGGGTTTGCTCTCTAGCTGTGCAAAGAATTTCTGAGTCCCAAGAGGATTGGGAAGCATGTTGCTGTGAATACCAGGATAAATGCGGCCAAGCTCCAGAGTTCACTTTTGAGCTCTACACCAGCGTGAAATATACACAGGATCCATCTGGACAAAATGTTCAGCACACAGCTGGATAAACTCTTCTTGTGGTGGGTGAACAACTGGCTCACGGGTCAAACACAGAGGGTAATAGTGAATGGGGGAACATTACACTGGTGACCTGTCACTAGTGAGGTTCCACATGGCTCCATCTCTGGCCCTGTGCTCTTCAACATCTTCATAAATTACTTGGACACAGGACTGGAAAGGATACTAAGCAAGTTTGCAGATGACACAAAACTGGGAGGAGCTGTTGACTCCCTCAAAGGCAGGGTGGCCCTGCAGAGAAACCTCAACAAATTAAAGAGGTGGGCAATTACCTCTTTGAAGTTCAACAAGGGGAAGTGCTGGATTCTACATCTGGGATGGGGCAATCCTGGATGTACATCCAGACTGGGGAATGAGATGCTGGAAAGAAGTGCCACAGAAAGGGGCCTGGGGGTCCTGATAGACGACAAGTTGAATATAAGTCAGCAGTGTCCTGGCAGCCAGGAGGGCCAACCATGTCCTGGGGGGCATCAGGCAAAGTGTCACAAGCTGGTTAAAGGAGGTGATTGTCCTGCTCTGCTCTGCCCTGGTGAGGCCTCACCTTGAATATTGGGTATGGTTTTGGGCACCACAATATAAGAAAGATATTAAGCTCTTAGAGAGCGTTCAAAGGAGGGCAACAGATGGTGAAGAGCCTTGAGGGGAAACTGTATGAGGAGCAGCTGAGGGCTCTTGGTCTGTTCAGCCTGGAGAAGACTGACAGGAGACTTCATTTCAGTCTAAACCTTCCTAGTGAGGGGAAGACTGGGGGCAAACACTGTTCTTTTCTCTGTGGTGACAAGTGGCAGAACTCAAAGGAATGGCCTGAAGTTGTGTCAGGGGAGGTTTAGGTTGGATATTAGAAAAGGTTCTTCACCCAGAGGGTGATTGGGTACTGGAACAGGGAAGCAGTCACAACACCAAGCCTGACAGAGTTCAAGAAGCTTAAGAAACAGGAGACACAGCCCTACATAAAGCCCTCTCTGGAGAAGATCATATTAGCTAGGACTAGGCCCGAGATGAGAAAGTTTTTGAAGAAAGGAGAAAAACCCACCCAGAGAAGCCAGACACACTGGTTGTGTGTAGTACCAGCCAGTCATGAGACAGGTACATAGACACTTGGAGTAACATAAAGGCAATCTCCCACCAGTGCCAGAAGGCAGCCTCAGCTTAGCAGCCTCCAGAACCTGATCTCACTGCTGATTGGAACTGGCACCTCCAGCCTCTGGTGTCCCCCAAACCACTTCCCTCCAGCAGGACAAGGAGCAAAAACACATACTGCAAAAAGAATTCCTTAAGTAGAAGGAATTCCTTAAGAAGAAGTTCTGCAACAAGAACTTCCTTAAGCAGCGGCACAGGCACAGCTTTGTTAGCTCAGGTTTGTTAGGATGTTTGTGCTTGTTTGAGCCTGCTGGGCTCTCCCATGGGTTGAGCACTCTCCAGCTGCTGGCCTGTGCAGCACTGCACTGCACTCTGCTCCCTGGAAAGCATCCCCAGCCACCAGCCTGTGGTGTATCCTGAGAGATGGCAAGGAGCATTCTCCTCCCTCCCGGAGCTTCCCTGCTAGACACACTAGACACATACCGACCCTCTGAAAGCGGAGTGCCCCAGCCCCCAAAGTTGGAGCATGGTGGAAGTCCCAGGAGCAGGGCATGTTCCACTGTGGGTGACCCATTCCCTGGTGTGGTGAGGCTGTCAGAGCAATGAAGAAGCCAGCTGTAAGTGCCTCTGTTGTGTTCACCCACCATCCCCATGGCCAACTGTGTAGAGAAGACTGTTGGCAGCTGGCACCCAGGTAGCTGTGACACCTTTGTCAGTGCCGGCTTCCCAGGAACCCTCTTTAGCAACCAGGCTCTTAAAGTGGAAAACATTTTTAAAGTTTATTGCATAGGGCCCCTGAAGCCACTCCCTGACACCCAACAGAGCAGCTGGAGAAGAAGGCCTCTCTCCATTACATCCCATTCCCTGTTCACTGTCACTCTGCAAGTCATCCTGGTCACCTGCCCGTGCTATGGGGTACCACAGGTGCCACAGGGGGTGTGGTGTGTATCACATGGAGATGACCCATCCTGCTCATTACCTGTGGCAATGCCCCAGCAGCTGGTGGCACCAGGGTCACCTCTCAGTAGGCATCCACCAAGGCCCTCTCCCACCCACTCAAACTGGTCTGACAGAAAGCACAGGGCTGGCTGCATGGCACTGCTGCTGCAAGGTGGGTGCAAGGGCCAAGCACCCCCTGCAGCCAGAGACTCCCTGGCTACCCCTCATAGCACCCATGGGCTGCCTGGCACGGGGCAGCAGAGGGGAAAACGTGGTCCTTGTCCCTCATGGTGAAGGCTGAGAAAAGTGTCTGGGCTCCATGACAGCCAGGGATTGTCAGCATCTGTGCTCACCCCAATAAGAGCCTTGAAGCAGGGCTTCGGGATAGCATGCCTGCTTGCAACTGAGAGGGCTGTGTTGGTGGCAGGCAAGTGTTTGGGGAGAGCTCATCCCTGCTTTGGGGAAGGATAAAGTTCCTCCCTTGACCTTGAAGTATTTGACTGCTGAAGTATTTGAGTCAGGACTTCCAAAACCAGGCAGCTTCAGCCTAGAGATTCAGAATAGAACAGATTTCAGAATACTGGGCATTGGTCAACACATGATGAGCAGTAGTATTGTGCATCACTTGTCTTTCTTATTATTATTATAAATATAACTCTTTATTTATTAGTTGCAGTTGTATTTTATTATCATTATTACATTCAACTTTGTTTCAACTGTTAAACTGTTTTTATCTCAACCTATGAGTTGCCTCCCTGACTTGCTCCCTTGAAAGCACATGGCCATCCAAGTCTGTGGAAGGGCACTCGCTCCCTTTCGCATACCTCTGGCACTTCCAGGGTAGAAAGCAGTTCTGCATGTCTACTCTGTCCTCCTCCCTGCCTCTCCCCAGTGCCAGAGCCCAATGTTTCCCTGGGCTGGGCATGTCAGGCAGCTCACACGTGGGATGCCCTGCCAGCTGTCTCTGCATGCTGGGGCATGCTCTGCCCACAGGCAATGGCAGTGCTGTTGAAAATCCTCCTGGCAAGGAACTGCATGTATCGGCTCCTGGTTTAGTCACTTCAAAACAATCTGGTTAGTAAGAGGGAGAGTAGGGAGGAAGACTGTACCCCAGGCAGAGATTGCACATGGAAATACCAATGAGATGACACTGTTCTCTGAGAAGTATTGGAACAACTGGAAGAATAATAAAACATTGCAGTTTCCATCCACAGGACTGTATCCCACATACAAAGTAAAGGCAGGGATCTTACTGGAAGTCACATCTGATTAGTATCTGTCTGGCCTGGATCCGTTCTAATGCGGAGGAGAGACAGGCTGAACCTGTCCACTAAAAAAACAAAGGAAAATGCATGAAAGAGGATGCAGGAGAGGCAGTTGTTGAGCCCAGGTGGGCAGCAGGTAGCCCTGCCCCAACAGCAAGGGGCCACCTATACCCACCTCCCCTTCCTCCTGTCCGAGGCATAGTCTGAGTGAGCACTGTGTGCTGCTGGCTCTTTGGCTGCAGCTAGTGTTGCTGTTCTCCTAGGGAAAAACTGATCAAAAATCAATGATTCAGTCAGGTTCTTGTGTTTTGTGATATCAAAGGCAATTGTTAGCTGCACCCTGAAGAGCAACCGATTCCTTACACTGTTCTGGGGCAAGTGGAGTATGCAGGTAGAAGTCTCATCTGATTTACTGCAAGAGTTGTCCTGTAAGCTTCCTGGTTAGGAAACTCTTCTCTGACTGAACGGAAGCCAAAATATTCAGTAAAGCCTTGTTTCCAGCCACATTTTTTGGATTAGTAGCCAGAAAACCCCAGCATACCAGGAAAAAAAAAAACCACTGAAAAACAAAACAGAAGATGGCTTTTGAAGTTCTACTTTGCATTAGTGTGTTCAGAGGGAGAAAGGAAGGTTTTGCTCTCTGACAGTTGGGTATGGGTGGAGTCTCTGGAAAGCACATATTTTTTAATTCACACAGTTGGAAAAAGAAAAAAAATCTCTGCTTAATACCCAGACAAGAGATGCTGGTACTAAGCCTCATTTTCAGGAAAGAAAACATGGCAAAATTCAAGAGAGAGACAGAGGCATGAAAAGGAGCCAATATGAACAAGTCAGAAAAGCTAAATTATATCCCATTCTATCCTGATGGCTTGACAAGTTGCTTTCCCCCTCCACTCTTCATCTTTTTTTCCATTCTGTCTCCATGCAGCGTTAGGGGGACAACATTTGGATAGTCATGAGCTATGTGTCCAATGCTCCCCGCAAAGTGACTGCAGCCAACATGTTGCCATGGAGCAACATGGATGATATTCAAGCCTCTGCAAGAGGGGTCCAGAGGAACAGGGTGCTGAATGCAGGCTGCAGCTGTCAACTCCTCCCTGCAATGCCATAGTATCTTGCAAGACTGTCAAATGCACATCACAACAACTGTACTTCTTCCCCTGTCGGGAAAAAAATCTCTGTGATGGGCCTGGGTGCACCCTGCATTTTGTTTCTATTTAATCTAGTTCTGCTGACAAAGGGACATCCTCTGGGGACAGGATGTCTTCATACTAGGTAAGGCATAAACTCCAGCAGTACTTTGACCCCCTTCCAGGAGGAGAAATAGGGCCTAAAAGATTTCAGAAAAGATCAGAAAAGCATTGCATGTGCCAGCCACATGTGGGTAGATTCATGACGTGACTTTCGTGCTGTCACCACTTCAGGACTCCTAGAACCTCTGAAACCATTTCAGAGGTGTGTCTCAGCCTGAAACACGTCACTGCCAGTGCTCCCAGCACAAGTCTGGGCTGGGTTCACAGGCTAAGGGAAAAGGGTTTTTCCACATTAAAGACTTTTTTTCTGTTGACAGTAATAAACAAGGGAAGAGAGGAGCCCATCCTGTTCCTGCAGGCCAGGTTACTCACATTTTGCAATGCTTGGGGCACATGCATGGAAAAAAAAACCCCAGCATATAAACATAGGAAAATGTTTCTGGGAAGAGTATCTTCCCATCTGTCCTGTCTCCAAGGTTAGCCAAGAGCAGATGCCAGAGCAGAGCATGGGCATGGGGCAGGTAAGTTGCGATACCCACCAGAGCTCCCCGCAAGCACGTGACAGTATGCAGTTTGGGAACTCTGCCTGGATTTTCCCACACTGGGTTTGAAATCCAAGGCTGAGTTCTGCTGCAGGGGTCTGCTCCAGCCTCCCTGAATGCACCCTGATGGCTGCTGGAGCCATCCCGTTGGACACATCTTCTAACCTGTCTGTCCGCACACATTGCTACCCATGCTCCTGTTGCTTAACACCTGCGATAAACAGGACATAATCCCTTGGCCAGGTGCCTGCCCAAGGCATGCAGGATCAAGTCTTCTCCAAAAAACCTCTGTCAGCCACTGAACAGGACCACTTGGTTTATCAGGCAGTGAAGCTATCCCTGTAGCAAAAGCACTCTTTTTTCATAAATGTCATCCTGCCATGAAAATTGGCACAGGTCTGCCTGCCCTTCAGCACAGATCTCTTTGCAATTCCCTTGCCTTGGCCCATGGTTCCCCCAACAATAAAAACCTCTTTGGGATGGTTTTGGCTCATTGCTAAACATATGGCAGATTTCTTGTGTTTGTCCAGCCACTTCTCTCCAGGGGCAGGGCTCCTTGGCCCCGGCTCCAGCCAGCTCACAGCTTTTTGCATTCTGTGCCAGTTTGCATTTTGCTCTGGCAGATAATCTCAGCCACTGCAAACCATACTCAATTTTTCAGGAGCCCTTTCTCCAGCCTCTCTGATTTTTCCAGCATCCCCTTCCAGCTGTCTATAAGCTGAGGGAAAATCAGCCCCTCCCCATCGCACCCCACCCCACAAGCTGACTCTTTAAGATGCTATCTATTGCTTCCAGACCACCTCAGTGGGAACTGCAGGCTCCTGGGCACTTTAACCAAGGAGAGGATAGGTCTTTGGCAGAAGAGGATGCTCTACCCTCCTCCCCATCCCCAGCCAGGCTCCTGTTCCGTGCCTCTTGAGGGCACTTGGGCTGCAGCAGCAGGTCAGATCCAAGACCAGTCCTGCCCCTATACCCAGCCGGATCACATGGCTGACCAAAGCGACAGCAGAGTCAGGAATGTTAAACCTGGACACATCATTTGCAACAGACTGAAGTGAGATGAGAAGCCAGCCCTTCAAAGGAGTGAGTGCCGGCGTACTCCATCAGCAACGCCAGGAGCGGGGCCCCCCGCGGCAGGGGAGCGGGATCCAGCCTGGCCAAGCAGGACAGGGAGTGCAGATGAACGAACAGCTCAGCGCGGTTTCCGCCGCACCCCGCCTTCAACCCTTCCTGTACCCCTGCAGGAAACAGCCCCAGCAGCCCTCGCCCGGGGCCCTCAGGACGGTGTCCATCAGCCCAGAGAGTGGCGGGACGAGCCCCGACGGCTCCCAGTGCCACCCGTCCGAGAGCCCCGCAGCGCGTACAACCATGCGTTGAGCCCTGCCAAGGAGAGTGGATGCCAAACCTGAATTACCAGCCCAGAGAGTGGCTGTGGATCCCGGGAGCTCCTGTGATTTGCGGCAGGTTTTTCAGGTCCCCGCCTGTCACACACACACGCAGATACTTAAGCAGTCACCCAAGGACCTGCGGGGTTCTTCTTTTACACCCTTCTGGCCCCTGCCAGCTCCAGGTAAGCATATGTTTTGAGCTGGGGGTGCTGGAGTGGATTTGCTGTTGGGGATGGGGAGGTGGGGGATGGAGGGAGGAGCTGACCTGTGAGTGCTGCTGAGGTTGGAGCTGCACCCAGCCGGGCTGGGTGAGAAAGCTTCATGCCCGGGGTAGGGCAAGGGGCGCACAGGCAGACAGAGACCCCAAGTGGGAGCTACCACGGGGACCTGCCTCTGCTGCAGCAGCTGCTGTGCTCGTGTTTGCTTTGTTCCCGTCCGATATTATCTTCTAAAAGGCTCAACCGGTAGTTTACCGGATGCATGACAGGTGGTTTTTCCTTATTTATGGCAGGGTCCGGTTTATTTTTAAAGCCTCTGTCCCACCTTATCCTGTGCACCATGCTGGCTGATGTTATCCACAGCCACACCACAGCAGGAGGCCAAGCAAAACTCAGGACAAGACATGGCTCTGCAGCAGAGCAGGGCAGAATAAGAGGGCTCGTTTGCATTGAGAACTGCTATTTTGATCCCTGCAGTGGCAGGAAATAGCTGCAAGCTAAAACCAGATGCAGATGCCTCCAGTTGCATCCCAGCCCTGACAGTGGGGTCAAGAAGCCCTACAGGGCCTAGGGGGACCCCATAAGCTTGGCAGGAGCTACTGCTCAGAGAGATTTTCAGGGGCTTTGGGTGCAGTAAATCGTTAGAAAGTTACACAGCCAGCCAGCTATTGTGACTACTGTTCAAAAAAGCAAAGCTGAGCAAACAGAGATCATGTCTTTTCTGGAAAAGCAGCACATTTCTGCCAGGATAGTAAATGCTGACTGCACTAGCAGTGCTGGGCAAGCATGCTGGGAGACAGAGGGATGTCCTCTCCATTTCAGGCCAGAGCTAGCAGTCCTGCTAGTAACTCGGGGTGTCCCTGAGGAGCTGGATGCAACCACAGGACACGGGCAGTACAATATATCTATATCCAGTAAGACTTTCTCTTGCTGCAACTTGTGTCCATTGGCCATTACCTTTTGTCTGCTCACTCCAAAATGGCTCTGGAGGTCCACTTCAATGCCCTATCAGCCACACTAAGAGCACCAGGTGCTGTCATGTACACAGCAAGGCTGGGTGGAGCCACCCACAGCACAGGCAACCACTGAACCTCTTGCAAGCTTCTGCTCTAACACTGCTCCACCTAAAACCAAGATAGTCAGAGCCAAGTGTGAATTTCCCAGGGGTTTTTAGTTTGACACTTAGGACAGAGCAGGTGTCACCAAAGCTGTGGTGGTTTCACTGTGACAGTGCATCTGGCATTGTCATTTCTGCCTGTGTGAGTAAACCCCTGACACACAGCTCTCAGGGGACTGCTCACAGAGCTGAATGACAACTGCAGCCCCACAGCCTTTCTGAAAGCCAGATAGATGGTTAACATCCTTTGCACTGAAAAAAATTTTTTTTCCAATGTCCTCAAAACGTCAGGCAGAAAAAAGCAGTGAGCAGCAGTGATTTTCAGCAGCTGAGCCAAACAGCTATGAGTCTCTATCTTTCTGCCAGGCTTAAAGAAGTGTAAGCAAGACATTTGTACCTTTCCTGTACAGGGGAGGGGGGCTAGGCAGCCTGAAGGCCAGGCTGCAGGTCTAGGCCTAACTGAGCCTCCATTTAAATAGAAGGCAAGTGAAAAGTGGTCCAGGTTGGGCCAATCAGGGCATTTAGGCACTCCTGGTGCCTTCAAGTCCAGTTGTATATCCCCAGTTTTTAGCACCCAAAAGGTGCTAAATGCTGGATGCTGCATGTTGCATAGGGACCACGATGTGGGGAGACCTGCAGTCCTCCGGGAGCCCCAGGGTTTTAGTCTTTTCCTGAAAGCCATCTCACAACCTTGAGAGGTAGGAATTGTTGTCCCTCCAGAGCAGGGTTAGAGGGGAGACAAGGAAAAGCCATTGGACATAACACTGTGCATGTTGGAGCACCCTGGGCTGCCAGCAGGTAGAAGATACTGTGTCCTACGGCGAAATGCCTCAGGAACCTGGAGATAAACAGAAACAGCTGTGCAGGTGAAACATGAAAGTTGAAGCACATGCTCCCTATGCAAATCAATGCACTCACATTAATGTATATTAATGCAGCAGGCTGCAAACAATGATTTATGAACCACCAAGACATGTTGCTGCTGGTGGCCCAAGCTAGATGTGTGATCCAGAGGTAATGAGGAGCCCTGTGGTGGCTGGGCTTTCTAGGAGAAGGGCAGATGGCTCAGTGGAGTGCTGATCAAGGAGGAGAGGCAGGACTTGTGGCTTGAGCTTGGCCTCATCTGCACTTCGACCTCATGGAGAGCATGGCAGCCATGGTGTTGGAGAGCAACACCTCAAGTCCAGGGGACCTCCTTCTACCCCTGCATCTTTTCCAGAGGACCCCAAATGTCCAAAGTAGGTGAGCAGCATTCAGCAGACCTCCACTACCTCAAATGCTTGAGGAACTGAATTTTGGCTGCTCCCTTCCTGTATGGATGCCTCTGAACTGAGCTGGCCCCAAGAAAGCCCAGGCAGCTGCAACTCTCTGTAGACAAGGCCAGCTCAGCTTGCAGCACCTGGGGTTAAAGCTGGTCTTTCCCCAGTCCATCCAGGGCTAGTGGATGATACTGTCTACCAGCACTCCATCACATTCAGAGGTGCTGCAACCTTTCGCAACCACTATGTTACAATCAGTGTTTGCCAAGTGTGACTCAAGCAGAGTGGGCTGTTTCACAACCAGCCCTGGTCTATTTATAAGCCCCTACTCAAATACCAAAGGATTCTTTTGTTAGTCAAAGTGCCTTCTGCACACTAGGTTCAGGAGGGCCTTTGCTTTATGAGGTAAAGCTCAAAGAAGAGGGTCTCTCCGGACTCTCATGAACAGCAGAGCAGGCTCTTTGAAAGCTGCAAAACAGTTTTGAAGCTGAGCTACATCCTAGAAGTTCTGTCAGCAAGTGAAAGCCCTGGGGCATTCAGTATCCCAGGGTACCCAGGTGAGTTATCAGTCAGCCAAGAAAGTGCTTGGGTTTAAAGCTATTCGGTAGGGGTGCAGCGTGATGGAGGTGCCTGGGTTATATCCCAGAATCAAAGGAAAGGAGAGACTGGACTGCAGTGTGGAGGGAGGGCAAGTCTGCAGTGGATGGCCCAGGGGAGTCCCAAGGTGGGCCAAGGGCTTCTGGCAGTACTGAAGAGCCAGCAATACCAACCAGTCCACCTGATAGAGATGGGCCAGGCAACTTGGACAGCAGGAGAGCAGATCAAGAAAGGCCACATTTTTGCATCCAGCTCCTCCCCCACCAACACCCCACAGCCTGGTTTCGAAAACACCAAAATGATTCAGCATCAAGGGACTTCTGCATGCTTTGTGGGGGCAACGCCTGGTGTCTTAGTTAACTGAATTGGCAAGCTCGACCCCCTGCCACACCGGAGCAAACCTGAAGCCCAGCAGAAGAGAGGTGTGGGACTTACCCAAGGTGCACTTACTTGTTTTGCTTGTGATTTTGGGCTAAGCCTTCCAGAGATTTATGCAAAGCACAAGTGGGACAAACATTACTCTGGAGGACAATATGGGCTTCTTGTTTCTGCCATTGCTGGGAACACCTAGCACTGACCACAGCCAAAGCCAGTGAGTGCTTGGGCAACAGATATGCATGGGGTGCAGTCCTCTGAGGACTGACTCTTCACTTATACACCAAAAACCAAACAAATAGTTCAGTGATGCTCAGGAGTAGTAGGACTAACTGTTTATGCCCATGCATGATAACATTAAATATTAGTAAAAAATAAGCAGCTCACCCACTCATCACCAGCTTTGTGTCTTGTCTGGCCATACTGCCAGAAGAGAACCAGAACACTGATCAGGAGGGGAAATAGGGTGATTGCTGGATCAAAGACCATGCTCCTAAAAGATTCTGCATTCTCTGGTTTGTGATTCCCTTGCACAAACTTGCCTGATCACTGGAAAGTAGGGGGGGAAAAAAACCAACCCCCTAGGCTGGATGCCAGATATTGTCCCTTCACCCAGAGGATAAATAATGTTTTTTAACTAATGTCTTTAAATTACCCCCCTGAACATTCCCATTGCTGTGACATCACTCCCAAGTGCCGCCCAGGCCTAAATACGGCTGTAAACATGAATCGTCCCCATGGGAGACACGCTGGCTATAAATACAGCACCAGGAGAGTGCTGAGCAGCCTGCAGTTTCCTGCCAGCTAAGAATGGTGAGACAGTTCAGCTGGGCACTGTTGGCGTGCGGTCACCGTAGTAAGGAAACCGAGGCAGGAGTTGCTGGGAGGCTGGGGAGTTGGCACTCCCAGCTGAGCTCCGTGGCATGTCTTTGGGAAGGCAGTTGTGGCATGTCTTTGGGAAGGGAGTTGTGCCCTGCCGCAGCCAGAGGCCATTGCTGAAGGGGGGAGCTGGTGGGGACAGGCATGGTAAAACTGGGACTCAGCAAAGTGTGGCCCCACTGACCACTTCCAGCTTAAGCAATGACACTGGCCCCTCTCTGCAGTGCCTGGCCCCATAGACCTGCCCCAGGAGGAGATGGCCACGGAAAAGCCAGTGACTCTCACTGAGGAGCAACTGGAGATCCTGGAGTACAACTTCTGCAAGGTGAACAAGCATCCTGACCCCACCACGCTGTGTCTCATCGCAGCTGAGACTGGGCTCTCTGAGGAGCAGACCCTGGTGAGTGTATGGCCCCCATCCCTCCCTTGGCTCTAGCCCTGCTCCCCCTGCATGCCTCTCCGCCCCATACACGCTCCCCACATCTCCTGCCTGTCCTGGTCTCTCTATCATACATCTGCACCTGTCTGTCCCCTCACAGGCTTCTTCCTGCAGCAGCCACTGCACCTCTCATGCTCCTCCCACACGCTCTACACTCCTCTGTGTCCCATGTGCTCCCTGCTTGCATTCCCTGCACCACTGTGCACCCTGCATGTTGCTCACTGTACCCCATGCTGCACCCACAATTTCCTCTGCACCTCTGTAACCCCCACCACACCTCTAGTCCCAACTGCGCCCGCAGAGCTCTAACTGCAACACAGCACATCCCTGTAACCCACATGCTCCCTCCACCCCTTACGTTCCTGCCCCTGATTATACAACCCATGCATACTGTTCTTCCAACCCATTTCTGGTAGTTTGGGTGCTCAAACCACTGCTGACTTTATGGTCTGAAGAAACTATAGTCATTTTAAAACAGATACTGGATAGATGCAATGCCTGCAGGATGTGCTGTGGGACATGCTCAGGCTGAGCACACTCCATCTCACTGCAATTAGATACCTCAGCGTCCCCAAGCCCAGATGCCAGGCAAGTCTGTGAGCCTTTCCAGGAGACACAGAGGCCTCCAAATAACCCTTCACAGGGACAGGTTGCCACTGTCTGGGAATTCCACCAAGCTCTGTGCTCCATCTGCCTACCTGCAGATTACCACAAGCTTCAGAAACAAACAGCTCCTTCCCAATTCCTTCAGGTTGTGGTGCAGCTCATTTTGATAAAGGTGTTTTATAAGCTACTAGGCTCATAGCAGCATTGATGGGTATAGAAAAGAAATCCAACACAGTGGAAAGTTAGCAGCAGTTTGCAGAGAGCTGCCAAGCCTGGCTTTCCCTCAGCAAAGCCAAAGGGATATAAGAGCCAAGCAAGCAATGTCAGCATTTAGCCTGTCCCAGGGAAGGATGCTGGTACAGCATCCATTGCACTGATAGTCCTTGGCTGGAGCGGAAAAGGGGACACTTCCTCTACTGTGCTTTGGTGATAGGTATCACTGTTTATCTGAGGCAGCAAGGAGGCTGCCCTAAGTACCCCTAAAATATCTTTTTCTACTTAGAAATGGCACTGTTCCATTTTTTTTTTTTCCTAAAGCAAGTCGTAAAACCAGGCCATATATGCCCAGGACACCTCTGTAGGTATCTTAAAATCTTCCCTGATAGCCCTCTTTTTCCACAAATCCAGGGTGCTCCTAGAAATCTGGAGATGAAGGTCACATTAGGGACAAGATCAAGATTGGGACGGTGAGCTGCAAAGTGCCTGCATTGCGCATAACACAGAGAATCACTGCTCCTGACATCTGGAGTGCTTTATCAGCTAGAAATAGCAGCCATTTTAATAAAAAATTCAGTAAAAATGAGATGCAAAGAGGTACTGAGTCAACCGGAGATGATGGTTTAGGACAGAAAGTGAAATTTTTGGGAGGAAGCTTGGCTGTCGATCATCTGACTGGATGTGGTCCAACGCAATATGAGTGCAAGAGACACTTGTACAGAGCACTGTGGTTGTATCACTATGGGCCATAATAGCTTCAAAAATAGTCATGAACAAATATAGCAACAAGATGAGCTGCAACAAAAGGAATCACAGGCACATTGCCAAACAAAAGGCTGAGCTGTGTTTCCGGCACATGAGTTATATCTCTTTTCTTACTTTTCTTCTTAGGTAGTGTGGCTTTAGCCAGATGCATTTTCTCTAATATTTTAAATTGTGGCTGTGTTGAAATGGCATCAGCAGCTCTTGAAGTTGACTTACAGATGCAAAGTTACTAAAGAAGAGCATAGACGTGCATATTGCTTAAAGACTAAGATAATTTTTAAACAATTTTTAAAATCTATTCTTAAATTTGTTGAGCCACTGTGCTGTCCCTCTCACCCTTTCTGAAGGAGTTCAGCTTTTGATTCCTGTCAGTTTTGGACCTATGAGTGATTGTTTCACTGCTCCAATCATTTAAACAGACATCATCCAGCTCCTCAGCCAGTCTCTTACTCTGTTTGCAAGAAAACCTTGGACTCACCGCAGTAAAATAAGAAGTCATCCATGCTGTCAAAGTCTGAAGTGAGCAAGAGAAATTAGTTTGAAAGAGGTGCACATATAGTTTAACAAGACCATTTGGTCAGGAGTGACTGTCTGTGCTGCCTGGGAACAGTACAGTGCCCTGCTACAAGAAGCAGTAGCATGAGTTTCCTTTGCCCGGTCCCAGCGTGCTGATCACATCTGCACCTTAACAAAAGTTATCTGGAGGGTTTGCTCAGCCCAGTGCACTCAACCCCTGCTCTGTTCTTTTTCTCCAGAAATGGTTCAAGCAGCGCCTGGCGGAGTGGAGGAAGTCTGAAGGGCTGCCCTCAGAAAGTGGATCTGTCAGGGACTAGAGGATGCTGCTCTGATCCCCATGCCTCCTATAAATGATGGTGAAGCTCTTCAGAGTGGGTTTTGCTGGGGTTCTTCTGTTGCAATAGGTTTTGCGATACAAAGTAATACTCTGCTATTTAACATAAGTTTTATTTAACATGTACATAACCAAAAATAGAACATTATATATATATGTGTGTGTGTGTGTGTGTATACAGCTTTTGATGGCTGGTAACCTGCCTACTGATTCCAACCCATTAACAGCAGCTCCACAGGACAAGGCAGTCTCATGCTCTTGTCCCAGGCTTGCAGAAAAGCTACCATGAAACATGTTCAAATATAGAAGGAAGAAATAAAGATTCCTTTTCCTTATAATCCCCAGAGCAAAGTATGTGTACTAGCTTTAAGGCAGAGATAATCCAGAAAGCAGGGCACCTGGAAAACCAGATGTGTTGTTCAGGTGACCTTGTTTAGCTCAAGATGCTGGAGTCAGCTCTGGATATTGGCAAAGCGAGTGCCTACACCATAATCAGACCAAGCCAAGCTCCACTTGAATGCCTTTTCTTAACTTTCTGTTAAAGGTCAACAAAGAGAAAGAATGGGTTGGTTTGGGTTTTTTGTCCCAATGCAGTAATAAAGAACCCAATGTTTTTTGATGAGAGGAGCTGTGTTATGTCCCCACTTGTGTTCCCTGCCCTAATGGCAGAAGGCAAACTCCTTCCACTGGCAGGGCACCATTTCTCCAAGATGGCCTCAGTGGCCACTGTGGGTTTTCCCTCTTTCCACACAGACAGCCCGCAGACATAGGCAACCTCATCTTCTAGGACACCTATGGGTCCCTGCACAGCAGCTCATACACCCCCACACACCTAAGCCCCGAGGTGGCAGAGTCTTGTGGTGCTGGGATTCCCCCACAGGGTGAGGGGTGTAGGGGGCAGACTCCAGCCTCCTCTTGGCCGTTCTCAGGCCTGACGAATACAGTTGTGCTCGGGCTCTTGCACAAAACCCAAGCTCTCATCCATCCTGGTACAGGACAATGCATGGTCTAAAAATAACCAGCATCATTTCCCAGTGACCTTACCTTGTTCAAAAGGGTTCAGAAGTTCTCTGCTTAGTGGATTACTGAATTGATTAATGGATCCTCTGATTAATCTCCTTCTGGTTTGTGGTCACCTGCCTCTACTTCTTTGGGAGGAGAATCAGCTTAACACAGGGAAGATTAAAATACATTGACTCTGCAACTGCCACAGGCTTTCATTTGTGGCTTTTATCCCTTACTGGTGAGCATCTCTCTTGCCTCAGTATCTCCTGCCCATCGCCAGCAGTTGGGCTGCCAGTGCAAAGCACAGTAAACTTGTAGGAAACAGATAAAAGCATTCTCCCTGTGCCATGTCCTGCAAAGGCTGTGTTGTTCCCCTGCAATCCAGCTGCTAAACTGACTCACTCTCAGACCCGACTGGAGCTCAGAATTTGTTCTGCAGAGTCTGGCATCAATATCTGTTTTCTTCTTAGCCTTTGCAATGTGCTTTGTCTCTTACACTGAGGGGAGCTCTGCTTTTTTGAGTTAGGCTCAAAAAACCCCAATGCAGAACTCCCTTATTTTGCTCAGGGTCACACAACTGAGTATCTGAACTGCACAGATTTTACCCAGATGCATGTGTATCAAAGATGCATGCAAAGGAAAAGGTTGGATCTGCCTGTTCTCCAGGCATTCGAGAAAACAGGCCCCAAATCCAATCCAACTCAACATACATTGCAGCCTTTTGTGTCTCTACTTCTGTCACAAGAACAAAACTTTGAGCATCAGTAAGAAGTTCTTCAAACTTTAGCATAAATTTTTAAACCCAAGTTCAGGAGTTGTGTTGCATCACCCTATTGCATGCTGTTGTGTTTGGTTTGCCATACTTTCTTGTGTGAAAGAATAGGTGCTGTGCTGCCTTCCCCCAGTAGTTGATTCATTACT